GTAGTAGTACTAGTAGTAGTAGTAGTAGTAGCAGTAGTAGTAGCAGTAGTAGCAGTAGCAGCAGTAGCATCAGCAGTAGTAGTAGCAGTAGTAGTAGTAGTAGTAGTAGTAGTAGTAGCAGTAGCAGTAGTAGGAGTAGCAGTACGATTACAGTACGAGTAGCACGAGTAGTATTAGTAGTAGTAGTAGTAGTAGTACTAGTACTAGTAGGAGTAGTAGGGGCAGCAGCAGCGGTAGCAGTGGCAGCACCAGCAGTAGCAGTCGCAGTAGCGTTCCCGGACTCCGGACGGACCAAGGTTCAAAGCCCACTCCATGTCAATGGACTACAACCTCCCTGGGGGCCATGTGACTCAGGTTCATCCGCGGTGTGTCGTGACTTTCACACGGTTTTGCAGGGGCGGTGGATGCACAGGAGTCCAAGCAGTGTCGGGTACATCCTGATTCGCAGAAGTACTGGAACAACGGCAGTGTGCATCATCGGATGTTACAGGCATGGAAATTGTTCAAGCACTATGACGCCAACGACGATGATCTTCTTTCCCCGCCGCTGGGCAAGAGCCTGCTATCATACTTCACTACAGGGGCTCCCAGACTCCCAGCATTCCGATACATGTTGCAAGACTAGTCAGTGCCCATCCTCACCGGGGCGAAGTCCACGAGCGAATAAACTTTGGCCGCCTTGACAGTGACTAATTCTCTCTTCGCAGCAGGTCCCCTATTACGTCCTCACCTTATAAGCGCTCAGATTGCATGTCAAAGTGTTCAACTCAGTACGCCCCAGTACTCGTAGAGTTGAAATGCAGCCTTGTGGTCCTCGAAGGTATGAGTTCCAGCTGCTACTGCGCACAGTGCTCCGAGAGCGCTATCCACGAGCGAAGGATGTGCCACGTGAGCTGTTCAAGGAGCTGCACAGCCAGAGAGACGACGATGTTCCTAGCAATTCAACTAAAGTAAGCCGTGCAGGGGACCTACATAAGTCTAGCCAAGCCCACCATACGGATGGAAGTGCAGTACAATGCAGTACACGCTTGGGAAATCTTTGTGGTTTTCAGACAGGCTATGTCTCCCTTAGATCCTACTTCACTTGCTGAGCCTCCTCATCCTGCAAAATCAATCTGGCCTCCGTGGAGACTGCATGAGGAAGCCATCGAAATTCAGCAGACACAGATCTCAGTGACCTTCGAAGACTTCCTTACATGGATCACACGAAATGCGTTCCAGGCTCGCACCCTCCAAAGGGTTTCTCCCAGATTGAGCAGCATCACGAGGAAGTTGCAGCAGGTTTCAGTCGACATCGGACATAGTGGGCACATGGGCAGACTGGAGTCTACTTCAGGATGCTCGGGTGTTTCGACAGGCTGTGAGTTTGTCCTACATCCCTGTCAGGAATGTTTGCTGCTCACCGACGACGCTTCGATGGTCAAGCTTACAGTCTTCTCGGGCGGGTAGGTGTACGATCTTTTCTTGAAGTGACAGCAACGAGCAGTTGTTTCACACCAGAACATGGCTAGAATGGTGGGATTCCCGTTTTTTTCTAAGCTTCGCATGCGCAGCAATAGAAGACTGTCTCTGAGGCATAGTTTCAATAGAAATCCGTTGTCTCAGAACGTCTGAGAATGCCTTTGGCTCATGTGCGAATGCCTCTTTTCGATTTACACCGCTGCAGCGAGGCATGCCCCGTGGCTAGTGTCCGAAGCATCTTGACACAAGGAGCAACGATTCATTCGACTGGTGGCACGACGGTTCTACGTCTCTGTGCCGGACGTGGAGAAGGTGGCCGCTGCAGGGCATAAGCTGTCGTGTTGAACATTTAATAGCAGCAGCCTTCAAGAGGGTCGCTGCATGACGTTGTTAACTTGCTGACATCTACATACCTTTCCTCGGATAGAGAGGTACGCAGTTCCTTTTCAGGAATCCCCAAGCTGACCTGAATCATGGCAGGTATAAGACAGCGGCATGTTCAACTCGCAGAATTCAGAAGAAATAGCTCTCAACCTCAGTTCGCTTCTCGGAGGCTCCATGTTTCTCCATGTTTAGTACCCCTCACATTGCCAACAAAATCCTCCCTGTGAGGTGAAGCGGCGCTTCGATAGCTTCTGCCAGGCCAACCCGGGCCTCCTCGAATACCAAGAGCTACTGCGCCCGCAAGAAGCTTGCAAGCTTGAGTAATCAACCATGGTGGTCCGGCGGCTTTCGGATTTTCGATCGGGTCAGGAGTTTGCTCTTGGAACGTCTCTGTAGAGCGACTTCCTGCGCGGTTGGGTTCCGAGATTGGTTGCACTTCGCCTGGGGCTGCATCCGGCCTGTGCTACGAAATGTCGAACAACATCGGGGATAGTCGGGTTAGACTTCTTTCACAGCAAATAACCACGCAGAACACGCATGTCTATTCTTCCTGCGAAAGCCGCGAAAGCCCGTCCACGGTGCATGTGTCCATGCAACCAAGCATTGAGGTTTTGCCAGCTAATCGCACTGCTGCTCAACCTGCGCGACACGACGGCTCTGCCAGAGAGCCGGGTGAAGTACCAACCTTACGGTCCTCTGTGCTCCTTGCAGCTTTGTCTATGGGATGACACACAAGAGGAATCGTGGAGTTGGGTAAAGCCACGGTGACACCTTCTGGCCGAAGCCGTGTGAAGGCATGTTTCAAAGAGATACATAGACACCGAGAAAGACAGGGAGAGAGCCACGCATGCGTATTTACATACGTGCATCACACCCATACATCGTGCATATACTTTGCATTCCGTTACATTGGTGCGGAGCATCGCATACGATTACATACGATCATGCATACATGCCTGCTTGCATATGTTGTCTGGATGGCGCACCTGCTTGCAATGTTCAGTGTTTCTGGACATGTCCTCTGTTCGAAGCATGGGTTTTGTGGTCAAGAGGTTATACAGGTGATATACTACAGGAGGCGGAGGATTTTCCACTGCAAAGGTCGTTCTGGCGCGAGCTCGACGACAACGGCAAAGGCGCCCTACTTGTAACCCTGAACCCTCAACCCTGATTAAGTCCTAAGACCTAAACAAGAGCTTGTAACAGGAAGTCTTGGAGCCGAATTCTGAAGCCTCAGCCGTTAAGATCTGGAGACCTGAAGGTTCCGTGGACTTCACAGAGTTCATTCCCTGGTACTTGGGCTACTTCGGCGGGGACGACGGGTCGTCCCTGGCCTCTCGGTTGCGGCGCATTCAGTTTCAGTTCGAGTCGATCGTTGCTACGGAGACGACGTTTTATGTTGCTTTTGCCTTCGGACTTCGTGTTGTCCGACTTCGAGTGGAGTGCTTTTGCTACCGCTCCTAACCCTGCTCCCGCAAAATCTGCTCCCTGCAGGTCAACTTCTACCGGCGTATCCGCCCCACAGTGTTTGAGGATGACTGATCAGAAGTTACCGGCAGAGTAAAGGCAGGCATCCAACAGTATCGTTATTCCGCAAGGGCAGCAAAAAGCAGCTCTTCGTGTTTCCGTTTCTGCTGACGGCCGAGGGTCCAAAAGAACTGAAGATCATGTGTTGCTGACGATGACTCACCGCAGCTGTTGTCGTTGAGACCACCCCAGCTGCTTCAGCATCGTTTCACATGCCGTCAGTGGAGGGCAGAAGCCATCAGAGCGCCTTCCTTGTCAAGAAGCTCTTCATGCAGTGTGTTTGCAAAGCAGCAATGTAGCCTAGCATCCTAGAAAAAATGAAACTTTGGTTACCGATTCCGAAGTGAAACGGATTTCAGACCATGTAGTTTTTAGTTGGACAAAGCTTGAACCTGAAAGTTGAAATGCATGAATTCAGCGGCCCGGCTTCTGCCCTTCCTTACGGCAGTGCGCAGCAATGGCTCTGGACTGGAAGTCTTCCAAGACCCGCAAATTCAGAGCCGCATAGACGTGCAGGAAGAGTGCTAGCACACAGTCTCGCGTGCAAATGTAGCGCCATGCTTCTCAGCTCATATCTTCTTAGGATGTGGGTTTCATTTCTACGATCGGGTCCGTTTCCATGAGTGGCCACGGCAGCATGGGTCAAAGTACACCCAGATCTACGGCGAAAGGTGCCAGTCAGGGTTTGGGCTTTTGCCGGATGAGGCTGAGAGGCAGGAAAGCGTAGATGAGCATCCTACCTAGATTCTATAGATCCTAAATGGCCCCGTCGTGGCTGGTAGGGTCTTGAAAGTGATCCTGCGGTGAGGATGAGGTCAAAGTATGCAGTGCACATGAGACCTGGCCATGGTTTGGTTCAAAGGCTAAGCCCTAGGTAGTATTAGGGAGACCCCTTAAAGGGGACCCTTCTTGACGGTACTTATGGCTCTCTTAAAAGGGACCTGGGTCTATATCCCCAAGGGTCCCCCTAATCCTAACTCTTACTGGGGTAAGGGCCTTGGATTGTTGGACTCGGGATTCGGGGGCGCGTCTAAACGTAGTAGACAGGGGAATTCTAAGGAAGGATGTTCCTGGATAACTAGTTACGCCCTTGAACCGATGATCGACGTTGTCGTGTGTAGGCCATGACTGCGGAAGGCATCCCAAACCCTGCGACTACACCGTGATTATCCGGATCATGTCGCCAAGCGAACGGCTCGGAAAAAAGCATTCAGTGCTGTGGCGAAGTTGAGAGATTGACGTGTGGGTTTCTGCATACTTTGAGCGGCCGGATCGTGGTATTGGGAAGGGGCAACCTGATGTCTGCCTCACCCGTGAAGCAGATGGCAACAAGCACGGAAAGTCTTTCTTCCAACCCAGATTCAATAAATGCCACTGGCTGGATCTTTGGTTGAGGACTGCAGTTGAGGATGCAGCCAGCCTACAGGAAGCTCTTGGGAAGAACTATAGCGAAACATGCTGGTGGAAGAAACTCAGATGTTGTAAGAACGGACTCCACACGACCTCTAAACGAGTCTTTGCAAAATCTCCTGCAGCTTTGAATCTGAGGACAGCGTGGCCGTAGCGGTCGCCCACACGACGTCCCTGGCACGGCGGGGCCATCAGTCAAGCCGTCGGGAGAGGGAGCCAATTGTGCATTGTTGATTGCAGAGTGACGCTGCTTTTTTCAATGCCTCCTGAGATCGACATGTAGGGGTTTTACAAGCTGCACGGAGTCTTGCACACGGGTGATCCGGAAGGGTTTGAGTATGCTCAAAGCCTTCGTGGTTCCACCCCCTACTTGTACTGCGGCTGCAGCAGAAAAGCACTGGGATCCACGTGTTGACAGGTCAGCATCCACGGGCGCATCGTCAACTTGTATGGACAGCTGCCCCCTGCATGACAAATGCCGGGGAACGCACAGAAACCGCAACATGCTTGGTACACGTATAAGCGGCATGAGTGCACAGCATCTTGAAATTCCAGCAATATGAGCCACGCCCGTTTTCATGCCATGGCCGATGCCTCTAGAGTCACCGTCGAATTCAGGGCCAAGACCCAGAAACTTGCAGTGGCTTGCAAGGTTGCCTGGGCGGCCGGCCGACGATGCACCGATGGGCGGTTGGCCAGGTGTCGCCCCTGAAGCAAGAGAGCGTCACTGTGGTTCTAATCATCCTGTTGCTCTGTAATTGTTGTTGCCGTGCATGAAGCATTTGAGGGCACTTTGCAGTGACCTTGCAATGCCAGGGCTGTTTAACGCAAGCTCATGGAGCACACGCCGAGGATGTTTGGAATTTACAATAGTACCGAAGACATGCCTTCATGTCACAGACCTGGTCACTGCTCCTTCCCACACGCAATGCCAGGCACCGGACGTTTCGTGAATGCTACCGAGGCAGCCGAGGAAGTCGGTTTGGGGGCAGTGTTCCGAAATGGGGGATGCTGAGGTACATGGTAGGCTAGGCGTCGTCATTAGCTTAGAGCAAACCGGCATTGCTTGGGGCGCCATTCTTAAGCCCAACACGCCAACATGACGCACCGCAAACTTAATTGTGCGCATCTTCTGGCATCCTCGGGCTGACAATCTCTTAAATTGCCGTCCACATTTCAAGCTTTCTTCTTGTTGTGCGCACTTTTTGTTTCGAGTCTGTCTGTATCTCCGTTCAGGCCAGGGTGAAGCCATCGTCTCCCACAGACCGCGCACCAAAGCGCACTCCAAGCGGTCTGAAATGGAAATTCGATGCTGGCATCCTACTATCTTAGACTTTATCTTTTAATCTTACACTCTTACTATCCACCGCTGCCTCTGAGCTGAGCAGGACACTCGCAGCGCCAGATTTCGGTGGTTCGAAGCTGGCACCTCGCAAAAATTATGCGCAGTGGTTGCGACATGTTGCGACGTCTGCAGAGACTTTTTTCATGAGTCAGGGCAGCTCCGTCAAGATAGTCAGCTATTGAGTTTTCAGCCACCTATAGTTAGCAATGCGCAGTTTTGTTGCACCTCTTTCCGGTATCGGTCTGAGCTCTCAAGCCAGGGATCTTTGGATCTTGCTACACACTGCACCTTTGATTTTTAGTATGCTTTCATTGGTGTCTCTCTGCGGATTGCGAAGATGACTGTCATGCTTCTGTTTTGCTGACAGCTGCGGTGAGGAAGAGGAAATGATGGTAATGATCATGAGAATCGTGCGGTGATGTTGCCAATGTCGAAGAGCATATGGCGATGACGGAGGAGAGGAGGAGGAGGTCATGAGTCATGCATGTGCGTGTGTGCTTGTGGTCATGATGATAGCTTCTGCCACGCCGTGATATAATAATAATGATGCGCGGATTGAGTCGCAGTCAAGTAGTATACACGCTGAAGCATGCTCGAAGGTTTGGCCTCGTTGGCTCGCGCCGTGCCTTCGTCATGCTCTCTGGCCCTCCCGATGCTCGGCCTCAGGGTTTTTGGGTGGAGTGGAAGGCGGAAGGGCGCAAAGGAGCTGGAGACCGCCGATCTTAAGCATGCTGTCCAGCGCAAGGGTCAGGTTGAAGGGCCTGCGGCTTATAGGCCACGCCAGCGGAGAGTTTGTGGATTCATGACCAACCAGGTTGGGACGCGAAGGATAGCTTTGCATAGCGGTGACTGGCACGCAGCAGGCGAACAAACTTTGGAATGCGACAATAGGCGTAGCCTGCATGTTTCGCGACACGTAAATGTTGCAGGATGTTACGGGTATTTTGGGGACTGGCAGTTGGCCGGCCTGACTTCTGGCCTGCATGTCTTCATCGGAAGACATCATTCGCTGTGGCAATTGCTGTCTGACCAATCCAAACAGCGAGAAGTGGCCCAGGACGCGGATCGGCTGCGGGCTGGCGGGTGGACGCTGGCCACAGCAGCTGGGACAAGTGAGATGGTATAGGACAGAACGATCGATAGTGCCAGTGTCTGCGCCTTTGCTAGGTACCTGGCAGCTCTGAAGCGCTTCTGCGAGGAGAGAGGGGAGTCATACTCACAAGTCGTCTCTGTCGGGGTAGCAAAAACATGCAAAAACGACATGGGGCAAAGAAGAACATAACGAATGGCTTTCATGTTGAGGACTGCACCCTGTCTGTTTTGTATCACATGCCTTGAATTCGACCCGGATTATTGAATATTGGGTCTTCCGAGCCTGCTGTAGGACGAATGCCGACAAGTGTTGGGGGCGATGATGGGCGATGTTTGCGCTCAGCATCATGCTTTTGCTCCAGCAGAACGTGCTCGCAAGGAGAATCGCAATCTCTCCGTTGTGCTCTATGACATTGAGGGATCAGAGGCGACGGGCTACGAGGTGTGGCTACCGTCCGATGGGGCTTCATCTCGCAGAGCGCACGTACACGTGATTACACACAAGACAGGTGTGCGTGTGCCGTGAATGAAAGTATATCGTTGTGCAGAGCACGAGAGCGGCCAGATCGCAAGCTGGCCCTCTGTGGACGTGTCGTGGCAACTGGCGGCCTTAGGATTCTGCCATGTGCCGACCATTCGAACCTCGCGTTATAGTGCATCTCTTGACGGGATTGGAAAGTAGTCCCTCAACGCAAACCCTAAACTTGGAAGAAGTGGAGCGATGCTGGCAGTACAAGCCTCGTCGTTTCGATCGGTATTGGCTCAACAGATGAAAAAACTTGCCTGCCTTTCAGACCCCCACAAGTATCACAAGCGTTACGCTACAAGCTGTTCCTTTCCAGGCGGCGCAGGCTGCCCCCGCGGCTGCATCGGTACCGAGACCGAGGGCCACCCCAGAGAAGAGCAGAAGCCTGACTGCCAGACTTTTGAAGCCTGAAGAGCTGTGAAGGGAAATGGATTTAATAAGCTTTGCGTACATGGTTTCCAGTTCTTGATATGTATGTGTAGCGAATGTAGTGTAGTGGCAACTGCTTTCCTGCGTGGTTTGGGGCATTGATTTGAGGTACTGGTTTCCCCCGTGAAGTCGAAATTCAGAATTTCGAACTGCTACGTGAGCAGTGCGTCATAGCATATCTTACAGCACATCCCGCAGTGAGCTCAGTGAGTC